GCCTCTTGAACACACCACACTTCTGTATCACACCTAGCATATCTATTTGACGAAACCTTCAATCATTTTATTCCATACAAAACAGTACAGTCATCGCATATTAAATTTCTCATGTGAATATACGCATTGCTAAAGTTCATTGGAATATATGCAAATCAATTTATTTGAAATCACTCGACGGGCCGACTTAATCGGAAGTAGTTTCTGTAGAAGATGAAACTCTTTTTTTTCTTAATCGGGAATTTGTTCTTGTTTAAATGAACCACTAAGTAAACCTGTTGTTAGTGTTTTCCTTATACATAACTAAGCAGATCAAATTAATAATTTTTGAGCCAAATTCAAAAATTAACCAGTAACGTTTCAAGTTGTTTGTGGAGGCTATTCGAGTAGTATATTCTTGTGAAGAGTGGATTTTTTAATTTTCTCGCTTTAATTAACTCGGAACATGTATGCTGGAAGTGTTAGAGGAAATGTTGGATGTAGCAGTGACATAAATTTAGCTTATTTCCTCTGCAAATGATCCGAGTTAGTTCAAAAGTAGCAGTAAGAGCATGAAAAATCAAACACTTTTTGACGTTTCTGATATGAGACAAAAATGAGAAAATGATTATGAAGTTTATTGAATTTGAAAATGAGGAGTCGGTAAGGAAAGTGAAATGGATCCTCTGGGGAGATGATTGTTTCGATGATATGAGAGGGTTATTAGTTGATTTAGGATTAGTGTTATGTTGAAAGGAGAATATGGTAATTCAACTAATATAGTGCGCATATTAAATGCATATATTAATAATAATAATCATATAAATTGCATATCAGTGAGAGTTGTTGTGTGAGTAATGAATCAGTAGAGCATGTTTTATCTCGGAAACACATGGGTGTGTTTACAGTGAAGCTTTACAGCTCGTTGGTCAGTCTCAAAGAGCTTCTGAGATATTTTATATGCACAATGGTTGCGTACTCAATGGTCAGCTGCGTTTCATATATATCTAAGAAATAAGTGTCCACATATACGCATAACTGATCAGAATAAAGCTTCATCTCTCATAAAGCATATTA